TATGTTAATGACACGTGTCCTCACTTTCATTATTTTATTTGATCGACAAATAAAATATGGAGTAAACTACAATTTTGGTATATGTGGTTTATACCAAAGTTTAAAGGTATTCTCTAGAGTCTAATATATATATATATATATATATATATATATATATATATATATATATATATTAAAATGGTATTTATATAATGTAATGAAATATATTTTTATTTTAATGTTTTGTTTTATTTTTTGTTTCTGTTAATATAATTTACGGTTTATGTGGTTTTGAGAAACATAATTTTTTACTTTTTAATAAAAATAAATTTGAGGATATCATAAAAATTTGAAAAAAATATATCGATATTAATATCATATTTAACTATTTAAAAATTCTCTTTTTTTTACAATTTTTTAATTTAATTTTTTATTATCATTTAATTTATGTCAAATAGTAAAGCAATTTATTTTTAACTTAATAATCGAATTTTTATAAAAATAATGATTCTGTTAGAACTCAATGATTATCTTAATTATATTTTAAATTTTATATATTTAAAATAAGATATTTATCATGTGTTTGATTATGTTTATCTGCAGTTAGTTATACGAATTCATAAATGAAGCTTCAATAAATTGTGCTTACGCACAATTTACTTGTAGTCTTAAATTTTAAGTAATATGCATTAATACACAGTAAACTATAATTTTGGTCCCGGGATAAAGACAAAAAAGGGTAAAAAGACATATATAACCCTCATTTAACGGACTAATTTATTAGAGTTAGTGATCAGGTACTATTGTCATAGCAATATGTAAACAGTAGGGACCATAATTGTAGTTATTGAAGTTTAGGAACTGCTTTTAAAGATTGGAGAATAGCACAGGGACCAAATATGTAGTTTACTCCAAAGTATGATAAGCTCAAATAAAACAAGTTCCTTTATCTCTATATCTCTTTATTTCCGGTTACTTTCGTTATACTCAAAAATAGTAAATATTTGAGAAGTAAAAAACGGTCTTAGCTATTCATCTTGTCAATATTTATGATTTTGACCGTGAAGCACAAGATAATTCCTCGCATGAGTACGCGGAAGATGGAAGTGTAGTTTCGTAACTTTTAGAAATAGACAGCAAACGAGTTCTTATGTAAACTCATTTGATTCACATATTAACTATGTGTTCACATGTGAACTATTTAACTGATTCATATATGAACCAACAGTTCATATGTGAATCAATTAATTAGTTCATATGTGAATCACACGGGTTTGTATATGAATTAGTTAAAACAGTTCATATGTAATTACACGGGTTCACATATGAACATATAGTTCATCTGTAAATCACATAGGTTCAAATATGAACTCGTTTGATGTTTATTTGCAAAAGTTACAAAACTTATTAAGGTTTTCTGGACAAGTAAACAAATGAAGATCGGTAAGAATATGAAAGAAAAGATGATCCATTGAGATTCAATAAAAATAAATAATGAATTAAACATATAATATGCAAGTTCAACAAATGATTATTTGAGCACTTAAATAGAATCTTATGGTGTGGTGGAATCCCAATGAAAGATAAATAAGTCAAACAATTGATGAAAATATTTAAATTCTATTTTCCTTCTTTTTTTTGCTCAACTAAAATAAGATGTTAAGATTAAAAGTTTATGAAACATGACATATATAAAAAACATTACTAAATACATCTAGTAGAAAAAATTTATTGATTAATCACAAAACCATGAAACACATCATAAATTATAAAAACAATAGATTGATTGTCAAACAATAGATTGATTGTCAAACAATAGTAAAATATTTTATGTAGAAGCAAAAATAGATAACAATAATCACAAAAACAATTAGAACAACATAACCAAATAACAATAGTAAATAGAAACAGAAATTGATAAAAATAGAATTAACAAAAGTATATAGCAATAACAAGCACATGATCTTAATGTTGAATTGTTGAAACACGAAAACAGTCAAACATATAGAGATAACAATAGCCGATATCATTGGACCTTGTTGGAGATGAAAAAAAATTAGAGGTGCAATAAACAATAACTTATAAACAATCGTTGAAGTACATGTGTATGCGTGCATATGCAACTCAAGGTCAGAATGGATACGTGTCAAGCTAATGTAAGGTAAGACCGATAAAGGGTATTGATCTTATTTTATTTTGATATAGAGGGGGGAGGCCCCTTCTATCAAGAAAAGAAAACCAAAAACACTAAAAACAATTAAAGCGATTGGGTGGGGGCGAACAACATCCACCAGAAATAAACAAAGGCTCCTAAAGGGAAGGGAAGGAAAAAATGAGGGGAGAGAGAGAGAGAGAGAAAAAAGAGCTAAGCACTAGGGAAGGTTCCAAACAAGCCTAGCCCGGACAACGTTCGGGGAGGGATTGACTGTCAGGCTAAGAAGCCTAGACCGAACATCATCGGAAATGGTCTTGACCACCATATCAAAAGATCTTCTCTTATTTTTGAAGATACAATCATTTCTTTTCTGCCAAAGGTGGTAGACATATCAACAAGCATTAATCTGCGAATAATAGATCAAATGGTCTTGCCTTTGATGATTTTCTGGAAGACTCTGATAATATCAACCAAGTTTTCCGGGATAATAGGAAAGTTCAGCTTGGGCTTAAGGCCATTCCAAGTCTGGTTGGGGAACGGACACTTAAAGAAAAGGTGCTAATGAGAATTAGGCCCGTTATGATAGAACTTACAAGTCAGATTTGGATAGGCTTCCTAGAACCGAAGCTTATCATGCATCGGAGCACGTTGTCTGATGGTAACCCAGAGGACGAAAACATGTCTAGAAATATTCTGCGAGAACCAAATCATGTGGTGCCACCCAGTGTCAGGTTTATTAGGGCGAATAGAAAACCAGACGTCATGAACCGAGAAAGAGTAATACGACCATCACTATTTATCCAGAGGAGTTTGTTAGGAACAGATGGGGAAAGGACAAGGGGAGGATCAAGTAGAATGGGATTGGATTTATCTCGTATTTGGGGGAAGATCCAACAACCATTACCGATGTGGACGTGCCATTGCCAATCTGGCAAATATGGACGCGCCATCGCCAATCTAGGAGATAATGAAATCTTTTATCTTTTCTTGCATGTCCAGTATCTTCCTCAAACCTCAACCAACATCACTTCGAATCGGGATACAGGGTATCATTAGAATAAGGATGGAAGGAATATGTGTTCGACATAGGGCATGAGAGGCAAATATGTATTGAAATAAGCTCAAAATAAGTTAACTATTTGTTTTGAAATCAACGAAGAAAATAGAAAATGTTTAACCATATACACCTAGTACATGTGAATACTTTCTGAAATAAAAGCAGTAACAATGGATAAAAACTATGAATAAACTTTTGATGCCATCGAAAGGCCATGTTCATGATTATCAACCGTTATTTGTATTTATAGATTCTAACAAGAAAATGGTATATGTCATCATGATTTTATACATCAAATATATTTATAAGGATAAAATGTAATGCTAAAAACAACTGATTAAACATTAAAAAAATCAAAATATAGACCTTGTGGGATTAACTCAATTGACAATAAGACTTGAGTCTTTAAAGATCATTCTCAGAGTTTACAAGTTCAAGTTCAATAAAGCCATTGACGATTTTCTGGCTGTACTTTTGGGCCCTTGAGATTAGTTGAGATGCACACAAACTGACTTGGATACCTCAGATCTTCAAAGGGGTTGATGTTCTTGGCGATATTCTTAGTAATATTCAATTCCAATCTCCCAAGTGGATCTCAGCAAGATATATGAATTGATCAATTTCGTGAACGACATGACTTGATTTTCTTTTCTACGTGATCTTGTGAGCCTTTCTTGGTCGTCTTTTTTTTGCGTTGGTGTTTTTTATGTGTTTTTTTTCTTTCTCATTGATTTTCTTCTTGTTGTGTACGTTTTTTGTTTTTGTTTTTCTTAACGTTATTTTTCTTATAAAAAACTTACACTTAAAATTTAATTAATACTTAATTATTTAAACATAATCTAACCGACCCACCGCCCACATGCGGTTTTATTTATTTATTTGTAAAGTTTTATGTTTTTATGTAATTTAAAAAAAGAAATTACAAGTTTATTTTTTAAATATTTTAAATTGTTTTGAATTTTAATTCTATTTTTTGTTTTTTGAAAAATAAAATGGAAGAAAGAAAATTCAAAACTAATAATATCGCAGACTAATTTTTGAACCATATTTAGAGTACAAGTCTGAAGATTCATTCTTCAGCGAATTCTGAAGTCTTCTTTTCCAGACGGAGCACCATGCAGAGCCTCTGCATAGTGCATGCAGAACTTCTGACTTGCCTATATAAAGCTCTTAAGTCTGAAGAATTTTACTTCGGAGTTAATTCAAGAGTACAAGTTTGAAAAGTCATTCTAAATTTACTTCTAAGTTTAAATTAAATTTACTGATATAGTTTCATTTATCAATTCAATTTTATCATAGGGTTTAACTTCATTTTAACAATTTACTGATATAGTTTTATTTCTAAATTCAAGTCTGAAGAGTCATTCTTCATAGTTATACTTTAGAGTTATTTCAAGAGTACAAGTCTAAAGTACCATCGTACTTTCGATGATCATTCATATATGTAATATAAGTTCCTGACATGATTTAATATTTTTCAAATTACCTCTTATAATACATATGATCAAACCTAGTTATTTATATATTATTATTTGACTATCAAAAGGTAATATAACAATTTAAAAAAAAATTCTATATAAAATTACACAAAAGTTAAAACTATACATAAATAAATTTAATAAAATATTAAATTTAATTATTAATTATATTTTTTAAACAATAAATTTTACACGAGAATTAAATGCTTTTTACACGATAAACATGAGAATAAAAAAATAAAAAAATAAAAAAATAAAAAAATAAAAAATAAAAATAAAAATAAAAACGGAAGATAGATGTATATGTATGTGTGTAGGCTGTCTTGCATTTATAGCCACCAAACTCTGAAACACAAATCAGTATCAAGGCTTGCTTCCTGCTCCTGCTACTCTACCCCTGCACTTCACAAGCTTCACGCACCACACCACCAATAAAGCATTCAAACTTTTTCGAAAATGGAGGAAGGACCTAAGTCTGTGATCAAAAGTGGGGAGGTTGAGGTGATGGACGGTTCAGATATTATGGAGTTGGTTGAGAATGATAAGGTTTTTAGCAACTTTGTCGATCACAAGTTTCGAGACCTTGATCGAGATTGTGACGGTCATCTCTCTGTCAAAGAGCTACAACCTGCCGTTGCCGACATCGGTGCCGCCCTTGGTTTACCTGCTCAAGGAACTTCCGCCGATTCCGATCATATTTACGCTGAGGTTTCCTCCATTTCCGTCTCTCTTTTTGTGTGTGAAATCGACATTGATTTTGGTGTAAATTGTAGTGTTTTGTTATGAATTCATGTCGATTTTGGAGTTCTAAACTTTCTTAACTCATTGATCTCAAAATTTCAAACTCTAGATGAAGTAATTTCCCCGTTTGTATTTGGAATTTATGGAAAATTGAATGATCGGATGATTGCTGTTCTTCGAATTCCTATCTTCATCCCAAGTGGATGAACCTTTACCTTGTCATTTTCCGAGGGATAAAGCTTCGCAAACTGATTAATCTCTATGGCATTTAAAGTCGATTGACTTCGTATGGCGTTTACCTGTTCATCTTCAATTTCCATTAAATACCAAATTAATACTTCCAGTGATAATTGAGACTGCCATTTTCATCATAGATATAGTTTCTTGTGTGTATAGGTATACATAGGGACGGGTCTGTTTGAACACCGTAACAACCAAGTATTCATTATGAATATCATGACTAATGAAAATACATGATATTCATGAATATATAAGTATATTCATTGTGAATACTTCATAGATAGTTGGGTTCTTCTAGGGGTATGTTTTGATGGCCATTTTTGCAATGTCATTGATACGATCATCCTCTCGATTTAGCTACTAATCATATCAAATTCTTCTTATCGTTGACTTGATTGAATCGATGAATTAAGATCATTCAGGTCCCCAACTGATGTTCAAAAAGCTTGTTTCATAAACTGGTCACTGCATACGTATCATATAATGCAAACATGTAGATATTTCGGCACAACACCTGCCCAATCTCAAATTTGTAGTCTCCCGAAACTCCGTGTCAAAGTCAAATTATCGAATAGTGTAAATTAATGTGGGTACCTTATCTGGTTGATATCATGTCTTTGACTTTAATGGCTAGATTGTCTAGATGGTTCTCAAAGTACTACACTACTACTACCAGTCGTTTTATATGGATTTCTTTACTGCAAACTTCAGAGTATGTCTGCAAGTGGGCATTAACTTAAATTATCTTCATCCTGACATCATTTTGTTGTACTTAGGAGATGATCAGTTCCCCCCTAAAGTATTAGTTTAATGACTTTTTTTTACTTGAATTAAAAAAAGATCGGCTCGTATAGCGGGTTGGATATCTAGATTAATAAAAAAAAAGGGGGTCTTTTTGGGATCGTCGAGCCATGGAACTTTTAATGACATATGGTGTTGTAAAGGTTGATGGATTTGATTAGAGCCAGAGTTTGTTATGAATTGTTAATGGTCAACCACATTAGAATTGTAGGATCAATGAAAGATGCCTAAAAGTTAGGTGCTTCAAGACAGATGAGGAATGTTTGGGGCCTACCAGATGTGATATTATGAGTTTTAAAATGAAAAAGGACAAGCAAGTTTCTGTTTGCTAACAAGATCCAACTATGGAAGACAACAGAGTGGTATACAAGAAAAAAGCAACAAAAAAGCAATTTCTATTGTTAATATTTTCTAGTATCAGAATTTCTCTTCTTATCACTCAATTTTCAATACCTCCGTTCACTCCATAATATAACAAAATAAGTTTTATAGGACGTCAAATATGTCTAAATGTCCTAATATACTGCTTACTGTTAGGACGTTCAAAAGCATCCTATCAACCTATCGTAATACCTTTATTTATAGGAGACACAATTGTTTGTTTGGTCCTATGAAGTTCTATAGAACAGTCTATTAGGACATTTAGACATATTTGGTATCCTATGCAACAAATTTTGTTGTAGTGCCCTCACAGGCGAAGGCTTATACCTGAACATATCATTCAGATGAACAAACCGGTTGGCCTTATTAGGCTGCACGTGTGGAATAACCCGATTCTGTACTCGACCTGTAGATTTCCAACTCGAAATCGATTGGCTATTAGAAGCTCCAAAAGTATGAGAATAATGAAGTTGAATACAGCAAGCTTGAAAAGCTCTTTAGTCCCGTTAAAAGTGGCATAGTAGGCAGTTTAAACCTTTGTAAATCTGTCCTTTTGTTATATCTTCTGTGCCTCTTGAACCTACTTTTAGGTAATGAAAGATTGTGTCATTGATGGGTCAATAAGGCTTATATGTTTTTATATGTCTTACAGGTTCTTAGTGAATTCACTCATGGTAAAGACGGCAAAGTAAGCAAGACGGAATTTAAAAAAGTTCTTTCGGATTTTCTGATAGGAATGGCTGCGGGTTTAAAGCGAGATCCGATTGTTATTCTACGCATAGATGGGGAAGACCTACTGGAGTTCATTGATGGCCCAAGTTTTGAACCAGAGATGATGTCCATATTCTCGGAGATTGATTTGCCGAATGGATCTCTTACTGACTACATTAACAAGGCCTTTGAGAAACTTACAGTAGATAAAGGGATGCCTCCGGTTTTAGATTCCTGGGTAATTCTTTCATCAAAACAGCAACTTTTTCTATGGGTATTCATTGATTCTGTTGGAGTCCCGTATCAGCTAGACTTTGACCTTACCTCCTCCTGAAGGGTTCTTTTGGAGAGTAATCTAAATAGGATTTCACATATTCTCACATGGTATCAGTGCCGAAGTCTACTACTTTAGGGACTCGGCACTCTGTTGGAGTCCAACAATTGGACCTTTTCTCCTCAATAAATGTTTGGAACCTCTTTTCTCGCCTCAAGGGATCTTTTGGAGCGTAATCTAATGGGCGGAAAGATTTTCGCATGTTCCTCACTTGTCGGGATATTTTCTTGGTGCAGGTTACAGGCAACATTATAGCACCGGCACTACAGTCGTGTGGTGTTGGTCAAGATCAGCCAGTTTCTCAAGACACGTTTTTAGTAGAGTTCAGAAAGGTAGCGGAGACTGTGGCTCAGCGTCTCAAGGAGCAGCCAGTTATTGTTGCTCATAGCGAGAACACCTTTGATGGAACCGGCATCAGGAGACTGCTATCTAACAAATTTGAGCTCGAAAAGGTTAGGAATCCATTTTTCTATAAATCTTTCACCTTGATGCTTGATTGCTTTCCCCATTAGTTCCTCTTTTGCTAGTATTATATAATTAAATAAACCAAATGAACCCAATATATCTCACTAGAAAGTAGGGTTTGAGGGTGGAATGTATCCTATGTCCTATACCATTTAGATGCTTCCCGTCTTATCTAGTACTCCCTTGTCCCAAAATAATCGTCCATAATGAATAAGACACATAGAAATGTGTGTAATTATTGACTATATGACAATTTTACCCTTAGTAATGGAGGGAGTATTGAATTTCTCCATTTGATGGTTAATGTTAGAATTGAAAAGTAAACACTTATTTTTAAAAGTGGACATATATTTTGGGACGATTTAAAATAGAAATGTGGACACTGAGAAAATAATATTCATCAATCTTGTATGGTTTTCATGGCTTATCGTTAAATTTCTTGCAATATAGACTCTGGATACGGCATTGAAATCTTTGGCAAAAGACCAGAACGGGAGAATCTCTAAGAATTGTTTACGAATCGGGCTCGATCTTGTGGCTTCTTCAGCTGGGTTGCCACCTTTTGGCGCTGTTTATCAGGTATTCAATTGTCACACCAGATTCAATTTTTGTCTTGTTTTCACATAGACACTTGCTTTTATTTATTTATTTATTTATTTATTTATATACATACACACACACACACATATATATATATATATATATATATTCATGGTTCTCAAATGAACTGGCCCTTATATATGACATATACATACATAAGGTTGGGTTCCGGTGAGAAGCGTAAGAAGGGATGTCCACCCTTGGATGCACATTAAGATGAGATGCACAAAGATAAGATGTATTGAGATGCACGGGATCAATCCCCGTATCAAGCACGATTCATGGGTGAGTTTGAGATTAAAGGTGATCAAGGGTCCAGATCCCTTCTTACGCTTCTCACCTTAACTCTCCTCACACGATCCTACACCTACATACATACATATATATATATATATATATAGAGAGAGAGAGAGAGGGGNGGGGGGTTGTGGGTAGGGCTGACAATGGGTAGAGTAAGGGTTAATTTGTTATGCAATCCATTTAAAATATCAGGTAAAGAAATGGTAATTATCCATGTCATAGAACTCTTATCCATATCCATACCCTACCCATTAAGATAGCAGGTAACGAAATGGGTAATGGATAAATGGTAAAAAAAATCATTTTTAACTACAATAATATTGTTAAACATCAACATATAAGTAAAATATAAGTTCATAAATATAATCTTTATTTTGTATTTAAATTTGTTCCAATAAACATTGTGATATTGTTTTAAATATGTTATAATGTGATATTTTACACAACAATATAAAAATCTAAAGACAACATTTCTGTTTGTTATATTTATTTTAGCGACCGATATTGCTTCTCATTTGATTATCCTAATTAACTCTTTTAGTTGCTGAAGAAGAAAAGAAAATTAAATACCAATTAATATATATTATACAATATATAAGATAACATTCTAAAAAATATATTAATATTTAACTTTATATAATTATATGTATATATGTATGTGTGTGTGTATAAACAGGTAACATGTAAATTCATAACAAAAAACACTTGATCCATGTCGGGCTAACGGGTAAGAGATAAGTGGATAACAAGATAAAATTCTCTTTACCTGTACCCTTATTCAACGGGTCTAAACATAATAGGTAGCGAGTTTACTCTTACCCATTGCCAACCCCATTTTTGGGAAAAAACCTTAAAAAATGAAAAAAAAAAAGAACACTCTGTAACCATTCATCGGGACAGTATGTACATGTGCATACAAGTAATTGAAGTAGTTACTTGGTTTTTATGCATGTTATACACATATACATACTAGACAAATTGTTTACAGATTACTTGTAGTAATTGAAGTTGTTTTTTGGTTTTACGGTTTTCCTTTGAAATATATTCTTCCACTCCCTCTTCAAAATTGCAAGTTATCTCGTATGTTTCGAGTGTTGAGACACCTTCAACCTTGATTGAAATGATTAAGTCCCGATTAGCTGTCCTGTGAAAAGGCTAATCGTACGATCTACTGTTACAGATGGACCAGGTTATCGGTGAATCATGCAAGATGTTCGATATGGATGATGGAAAGCTGGTTAAAGAAGAGGAGTTCAAAAAGCTGCTGGTGGAACTCCTGGGAAGTATCATGCTGCAATTAGAAGGCAACCCGATCTCGGTTTCCACTAACTCGGTGGTTCACGAGCCGCTAACCTCCGCTTCAACGCTGTTGCAGCCATCTTCGATGTAAGCGGTACAACTATTAATGCTTTATGTACTCTTTTTAGAAAGAACATGACCTAAAGAAATGTGCAATCATGAATGCATGCCTCTGGTATAATCTTATTTAGCATTGATTGTATTGGGAGAGCACACCAAGAGTAAGGTTTAAGTATGATATATATATATATATACACACATATATACATACATATATATATATATATATGTTATGTATTTATATAAGTTGTTATGTATTACTTGTAATCACTCTAACCATCTCACATAATTGGAAAAGTTAATCTAGATCTAGACTCCATTTGCTTTTAACTTTTTTTTTATTAACCTGGATATCCAACCCGCTATGCGAGCCGACTAATCCCAGGGCGACCACCTGCTTTGCAGATAGCCCGGAGTCATCGCATTTGAACCTCTATGGCCACAAGGGGATTTTTATTCCTCATTGGATTTGAGCCTGGGACCTCCTGGTACTTTTGACCTTTGAAGCCAAACTCAAACCAATCAGGCATCACCCTTGTGATTAAAAACAACCATGTGCTTTTAACTTTGTATCTAAAAGGACAAATAAAGCAAAGGGCACTTGGCCTAATCTTATTCGGTGAGCCAACTTTTTTTGACGTGGGTCGGGCTTTTCGGTAAAGGTGGAAAGTGTTCTGCAGGGTATAGGTAAGGTTCCTATTCGGTAAAGGTGGAAAGTGTTCGGGCTTTGATGTAACCATAAGGGTGATGTCTGATTGGTTTGAGTTTGGCTCCAAAGGTCAAAAGTACCAGGAGGTTACAAATTCAAATCCAAGGAGGAATAAAAATCCCCTTGTGGCCATGGAGGTTCAAATGCAGCGACTCCGGGCTATCTGCAAAGCAGGTAGTCGCCCTGGAATTAGTCGGCTCGCATAGCGTGGATTGGATATCCAGGTTAATTTAAAAAAAAAAATCTTTGATGTTAAATGTGTAGGAGAGATAAAAAAAAATATCCCGTAATGGTTTAGTCTTGTATAGAATCTTGATCGCATTACCGTTGCTTCAAGTCTTCAAGAGAGAGCTAAAACCAACCCAAACGAACGAAGTACGGGTGTTTTGGTTTCCGCCAAATGGTCGTAGGTTTGTGATGGGTTCGTGGTTGGTCGAGCTAGGAAACTTGGGCTTTGGCTCCACTAGTATATGTGTTGTGGTTGATAACTTGTTATGGACTCGTATAAGCTCGACTCTTGGTTTTTGACCAATTTTTGTTTCATTCGTTTAATTTTCGTCTGCAAAGAACCAACCCGATCATTTTCTTCATATTCAAATAAAAACATTCCAAATCAAACAAACCTAGTATATCTCAAATTCTCAATAAAAAATATGGTCTAAAATAGTAAGATGTATGCAGACTTGACCTCTATAATCGTCATTTATCTGAATTGAATAATGATATGTTAAAGTCATCAAAAGCAATGGGTTAAATAGACTTATATTCATGGGAGACCACTCTTTCATGAGACCCATGAGACCACCTCCTTGTCATTGGATAAAACTTTCATACTTTCACCGAACTTTTTATATTTTCTTTATGTGAACAACTATGAAGTTTCGGGAAAATTAATGAAGGTTCAGCAAATCTAATGGCTAGGATGTGTGGTCTAAAAAAAGGATGGTTTTACGTGAACTCAATTCTCTCTCTTTCTCTCTCTGTGTATATATATATATACATAGAGAGAGAGGGGGAGGGAGTGGGATCACGTGAGGCTAGTCTGTTTTCGTGAAACCCGTGAGACCATTTTTTTATACTTGAAGCTTCACAACAAAACACTGTGAATGTAATATTCACAGTGCTTTTGCTGTGAAGGTTCGACTTTTTTTGCCTTCACAGTATTTTGCTGTGAAATTTCAAGTGTAAAAAATTTGTCTTCAAGAAAAAATGGTATTATCGAACACTCTAAACTTCCCCTACACGATAATAAATTGGGGATCCGCTAAATTTATCGATTATATACAATAGCATTTTGTTAATGGTGATTGCCAAAGTTAAAGAGTTCCCTTGTGGACACGGAGTTCAAATACAGTGACTCTGGGTTACCTGTAAAGTAGGTGGTCGTTCTATAATCGGTCGGCTCGAATAACGAGTTGGATATCCAGGTTAATCAAAAAAAAATTCAAGAGTAAATTACGTTTCTCGTCTTTGTGGTCTGTTCAAAAATAAAAGACCTACGCTTTTTTAAGCTCGGGCCTAGCCGGTCTAGGTTTTGGGGTTAGAAAAGGGTTCGGTCAAGCTTTCTAGCCTGTGCTTTTCTGCCTTAACTGGGTTCTTCCAAGCTTTTTCAAACATGGCTGTTTCGGGCTACCTAAAATTTGGTTAAGCTTTGAGGTTTGGCCTGGGCTGGATTTTCTGCTCGCTAGGCTCGGGCTTTTTCAAGCCGGGTTTTAGGATTGGGCTTTTTTGTGTATCTCTATTTCATAACGACGAAAACAATAATGAGTTTTAAATCATATGGACGAAAAACAACAATGAATCATGAACCAGATGGGAAAAACCCATAATTTTAAAATCACAGAGTAAAATAACAATTTTTGAAACAACCGAAGGAACAAAAAATGTAGTTTACTCTAAAATTGATCATCGTAAAGCATTGATTAGTGTAAACCTTAAAACGACCTTAAAAAACCTTTAAGATGTCTAATATTAAAAATCAGAAAGTCTAAGGGGTCGTTTACAAAACACTTATTTGGTAAGTGTTTAACGCATAAATTTTCTTATTGGATGAACATGAAAAGGGCCAAAAATCTTACCGGGTAAGAGCGATGAGAAGGATGAAGAGTCTTACCCGGTAAGTGAGGATGACAACTCTTACCCAGATAAGCATTTACCCAATAAATTGTTGTATTCGATATCTTTTGATATACTAAAATATTACACATCAAAATAAATCATAGTGTTGACTCTTATTGATAAGCGTTTACCGGGTAAACATTTGGGTAAACGGCCCCTAATATGTTTAAACGAGCAGAGCCTTCCAAATAAGTTGTGCAGTTGAATTTTGATATGATTGTTTTCGAAGTAACGTAGCTAAACAAAATAAGTTGTGCAACATGCGGTTTAAAACCTTTACGGTACGATTTGCGGTTTATAATTTTATCAAACCGAACTTTGCGTTGTGATTTACAGTTTTGAATCATTAAACCGCGGTTCAAACCGTCACTGCACCGCATATTTTAAGAGAACATATTATTATATATACATTACCATTAATTAATTTAAAATAACTAATACGTTATTAACTATTTATTCATTTTTCAGTTTTACTTTTAAGTTTAAACATTAATCTGTAACCATAGGGATGAAAACCGTAATTTTGAAAATACAGAGGTAAAACTAACAACTTTTAACAAACCATAGGGACGAGAAATGTAGTTTACTCTAAATTAAGCTTTGTGAAAGTGCATGTGAAATTTTATGGGGACCGAATGTGAGCAAATCATTTAAGAAAGGTCTCTTTTGTCATTTTCAAAAATTGAAATAATTTGAGTTAATGATACAATCTATAAATCGATATAGGTAGGGGTGCTCAAAAATCTGACCAACCCGATTAACCCAACCCAATCCAACGTGAAATAACTCAACTCGAAGCAACCCGATGTCTAATCGAGTTGTAAAATTTTCAAACCATAGGTATTGAGTTATTATTATTTGAACCCAACTTAACCCGATGAATCCAATATCAATTTATTTTTTGGATTTAATATGATTGTTAAATTTCTGTTAATATATATATATATATATATATATATATATTATAGATAATTACACTATCACGTACGCTATTCATATACACATTTTTTCAATCTATTCACATCTGTATATAACTCAATCGTATATATGTTCAGTAACTGTGAACATATATACGTAAATTGTGAAAATTAACTGAATGTGATATACGTAAGAAGTATGAATAAGTTGTATCAAATGGTTGATGATAAAAAAGAAATTATGAGTAGAGAAATAATATACTCTAGGTTAGAAGAGTATTTTAATGTACCAAAGTATCAACCCGACCAACCCGTATGGTTTGGGTTGGGTTGGTTGCACTTTCGTTTGGGTTGGGTCGGATTAAGATTTTTCAAACAGCTAACATTGGGTTGGGTTGTTCAAATGTCTTCAACCGATCAACCCAACCCATGAGCACCCCTAGATATAGGTGTCGTTTACCCAAATTTTTATCCAGTAAGTGTTATCGATATCATTCAACACTATCACTTATTTTACCGGATAAGTTAGTTGCTAGTATATAAACTATTCATTTTTAGTAAAAAAACTAATTGATAAATTAAATGACAATATTAACGAGTTAAAATGACATGTGGGAAAATTACTCAATTCTAACATATAAATGGGGAAAACCTTCTAAAATTTATTGAAAGATTATATAAAATAGTTTTTTCGAAAAACTAACTCATATGTTAGTAGTTTCAAGAGCATAATTAGACTCACAACTTATCGAGTCAGCTATACAAGACGGTTTTGTAGTGACTTAGGGGCTGTTTGGCAGTTGCTGAATGGTTTTGTGCAGAATCATTAAGTGGTCAGAATGATTAAGAGGCTCTCATGATATTGTGCAAAAAAAATATAATTATTTGATAATTGTTTACAATGAAATTATGGCTCTTAATAGTTAAAGGATGCCCAAGATAAAAATCATTCAGGGGGTTTTAGAACCATTAAGAGACAGATTTATTTTTGCCAAACAAGATTAACCTCTTAACGATTCAAAGATTGTCTCCTCTTAATGGAACTATTAAGAGGTAAACAAACAATCCCTTGATAATATAAAATGTGACTTATTCCATAAGCTTCTAGGGCGATCTTTATGCAGAACACCAAGTTTTTTTTCCCAACATACCCCTCCCGATTAAATACACGCTCCTTTATCAATGAAAAAACTCTCGCAAACAAAAACCAAATTAATGTACAGAAACGATTTTATCCGTACAGAACTTAATGTAACCAACCAAACTACCATATTTGCCAAATGAGACTCCAAAGAAACTAAGAAACTTCAATTTTGTATCTCTTTCTACAAACCAACATCAATTTTCACCAAAAAAACATCCGAAAACTACATCTCGACGTCTACGGAAACCCTAACGGAAATACCCGAATCTTACAAATACGAAAAATTATAAATACGATGCGATTCAACGTTAAAAAGTCCAGGAAGATGATCTTTTGACTATGGATTTCATCTGTTTATCTTCTTCAAGTGCTATCATACCTAAATGTGAAGGATCCTCAAGCATCATTTTTGCCACCAAATAACCAGCAATGGACCATGTTTGATGCTTTCGAGCCTGTTTCCCGACGTACCGCCCGCTCTTCCCGTCATAATATTCCGGCCACCCGTCTTTCGCTAGCCTAAGTTCTGCAACCTCGATCGCACGCCTTGCAATCTGAGGGCGTCCGACCTTGATACATGCAGCCGTTAGCAACCACAACAGCACTGCACCGCAGAAAAATCCGTTAGAAAAAGCGTTCCTATCCTGTTGCATGTTTACCGACACAAATCTGGTACCAAGTTCGGTCTAGGTTAGTGCTGACTGAAAATGGCTGTTTACCAAGAACGGAAAGTGTGTTGCTTTATTAGATGTGGTAGATCCCGACTATGATATCATGTGAGGATACGTGGAATCCAGCGGCGCACCAAGAGTTTTGCCGAGCAGGTGCACCTTTAAGATGGATCAAAGGCCCGCAAAGTCGCTCGATGTATTTTTAGCCGAATTCCAGTATTCCACCATTTCAACATATCTTTTTAAGTTTTTAGTTGATTTTGAGGGGCTTTTTTTGGTTTTTTCGGTTGATTTCGATGGACTTTTCCGGTTTTTTGGTTGATTTCAGTGGTCGTTTTTCTTTTTTGGTTGATGTTCCTTTTTTCTAATATCTCCGCTCACCCCTCAAAGTTTAGCGAGTACACCTTTCATACCCCAAAAAAATTTACTTGCTAAAAATAAGTCAAGCAGGGTGCACGAGACCCCGGGCTCGGGATTCATAGGTCCGCCCCTAGTGGAACCTATCTGATCTCTCTCTATAAGATCTCTTATAGAGAAAAAGAAGGTTCCTACATTTGTATATGGTTCGTGTCTAGCTGATATGGGACTCTCCCAGAAAGAAAATTACATATAATGTACCTGGCCACGATCCTCCGTTATGGTAACTCCATCTAGTGTTCTTTGGATCACATCCGGTGATAATCTTCCAATCATGGCCTTCGATGGCCGGATAGCAAACCTTCACCGGCATATCTCCGACCAACTCTTCCCATCGGGATTCTATGAGATCCATAATCGCCATTGATTGTTCAAGGGTCGCCAAAGATGAAAGAATCGCAATGCAATTTCCCAAGCAAAACCAACGGAAATCCATATTCGAGGGGCCAACATTTCCAATGAAGTAACCCCCGTAAGTTGGCATGAAGTCAAAAACCCATTCAGGAAGCGAGTCGGGAATCACATTAAACTTGTTGACCGCAGTATGCGAATACTCCTCGGTTTTATACCGATATATGTCATTCAGTTGCTTCAAATCCAACCAAAAATAGCTTCTCATGTGAAAACTTAGAGCGTGAAGACGCTTCACGATTCTCTCGACGAGTTCTTTTCCTTGAGCATCTTGCTTGATTAAAACTAAAGCACATCTCAACGCCATGAAGAAGAGCGCTTGTATCTCTATTGGATATCCGTACACACCCTGCATATAAACAAAAATATACCATAAACAACCTCAAAGGTTATGAAACAATATAGATACAAGAGTGTTTATATAGAGAGAGAGAGACCCACGGAAAAACCACAAAAAATAAAAAACTGAGGAACACCCCGGTAACCGTTCATCTGTACAAGATTCACATGTGCATACAAGTAATTGAAGCTATTTCTTGGTTTCTATGCACGTATGTATGCACGTGTGCATACCAGATAAATTACTTGTATGCACACGTGCATACCTTACAGATGAATGGTAACCAAGGTGTTCCTCAGTTTTTCATTTTTTTGCGGTTTTCCCCTAAACTTGACCTTATATATAATGAGAGGTTCAAATTAAGAAGGCTAAATATTGTTAGAAGGTAAGAAACAAAGATTAAAGAAAGGTTCATATATAAATCCATAAAATAAATCCATCTGAAGATGCATATGTAAACTCATATGCATCTTCGAATAGATATTTTCAATGATTCACATATGAACCTTCCTTTCTTCCCTTGTTTACCTTGTCATGACCATATATGTATATGTGTGTGTGTATATATATATATATATGTTTGTGTGTACAGATACAAACTAACCATTCTTCGATCAATCATAGAGCACCCATCGGCACAAAGTAGAGTTGGGAACGTGTCAAAACCTTCAGAAAGGCATAAAGCGAGTATCAACCGCATACCCTTCTGGCAATCGGGCATTTCGGCCAACGAAGTGTCTCCGGTCGATTTCGTATATGCACGGAGCAATATGATCCACCAAAATCCTGAATCGACCGGTGCAACTCGTCCGATTGCACTCTCACCAAAATCTGCCATCAAAGTCTCAGTATTACGAACTGGATCATGGAGAACTTTAAAACTAGCTGGCATGACACCTTCCCCTAGTTGGAACCGGTCAATTTTCTTCTCCCACGATTGAAGCCGAAGAGTCTTTAGAAGAAAATTCTTGACAATTTCGGGTTCCCCGTTCATTAGGAAGGCCAAAGCACTTGGCACGAAATCTCTTACAAAAACCTGTACACAAAGAATATTGGTTGTAAGATCGATCTTTGATTCAATTTATCCATTAGTCTAAAGTTACCACATAACTTCACACTTGCATAAAATGTACCATACAGACATAGGGGAATTCCGACAAAAAGGTTGAGAATGACTGAAAAAACGGATGAAATAGTATAACAATATGGATGTCAAATTAAACGGGATAAAATAAATACCTATACATGTATATACGTACATACATACATACATATATATATATATAGATTATGTATGTATGTATTTCAAAAGTAGCTTGTGGTATTGTGTGCTCAATCAAGCATGCTCGGATCCATGTAGGACCACACTTGACAACCATGGTTAAAGATAGCAAGGAGCAAGGGTCTTATACCGTGTGGGAAAAGACTCTTACCCAGTAAGCGGTTACCGGGTTTAAGACGTTTACCAAAAATCAATTTTGATGACCGAGAATGTTTCTCAGTAAGGTAAGTGAGGGTGATGTCTCTTGCCATAAGTGTTTACCCGGTAAGCTTTTGGTAAACGGCCCCTTACTTTTTTGTAGTTTTTTTATAGGATAAATTGCATCAAAATGAAACGGACTTTGTTCCAGTTACCATCCAAAGAACCTACTTTCAAAATCTCTATTTTGGTGTCTACAGCAAGAAATCTAAAACAGGTGCAAGATTGCAATTAACTACCAGTATGAAGGAAAGATGTACCTGATCGTAGTTTAGTTTCTCATCTGAATTGTCTAATGCGGCAATTGTCCCAACCGGTTGACCACGAAAGTACACCATCGTCTTCCTCAAAGACTCCCAAGCCTCAGCAAACATCGGGTGTGGTTCAAACCCGCAAATCGATCTAGGCGTATTAAAAGATGATCTTCTACTAGGCGAAAAAAGGTTATCAAGATCCATATGTCTCTGTCCATTTTCTGCCCACGGTGTGTGACCGGGTGATGCCTCAACCAGTGACCGTTCGTCAAACGATCTTTGCCGCTCCATATTCAAGTGTTTAGGCTTATCCCCTAGCTTCGAGAAATCATAATCGCTATCACAATCACCATTATTCACACAATCACCATTACTCGCACTGTCGTTCTGCATCAAATCCACCAAGACCGTAGACATTCTTGAAACTGACACTGGTTTTATGGGTCAAGCGATCTGCATTTTGTTTAGAAATAGTTGAGGCATTTTAGCAAACACCTTGACTACGAAAAAACTGAGCTTTACAAATTGCTACACGGAAAAATTAGTAGCACTAAAACCAAACTGGCACAGTAAATCCCACCTCGAAGTAGGGTCCTAGGAATGAGATGTATATAGACTTGACTTCTACCTCAAAAGAGTAATCCAGTTGTTTCCATGAGCAAAGAGGTACAAAAAAATGAAAACATATAAAAGGTCAAGTAATGCAAAACACACCTGGAGCAGGTTAGACAAAAACACATCCCTAGTCCTCTGTTTCCGAGTACTATCAGCACTACATAAAATTAAGGGGCTCTTTGGTTGGTTTTCCTTTTTCAAGTCCTATATGGATAAAGTTGTCTGTATGGATTAATCTGTTTGTATATATCGAGAAGATCTTTTTTTGGGGGGGGGGGGTTACATTATTGAAAAGAACATGTTTTTTAATTGGGAGGAACAGGTTCAAAAAAACTTGGTTTCTGCATAAAGCTCCCCTCCTAGAAGCTTACTCAACAAGTCATTTTCTATATCATTAAGCCACTACCAAACAATCTTACTCAGTAAGTCACTTTCTATATCAATAAGCCACTATCAAACAGTCATGTATTGCTGACGGAATAAGCTCCGAGTCTCATTAAACTCATTAAGCTGCTAACAAACAGACGCTAAATGCATAACATACCATACTTTCAAGTAAAAACTTGGAAATACACAAGGTAGCATTCAGTTTCATTCAAAAATAATGGAGACATTTCATCGAACATGTTGGCTACAGAAGAGTTGAAGTCTAAATTACTCTACAGAAAAAAAAAAATAGCAGCATTACATACAATTAAATGCAGAACAACCCTCAGATTCTATAAATTACTTGAAAATACATCAAGATTCATATATGTACATTTTCAATTATTTATATGTAAAACTCAATGTACAACCAACTAAGCTACCATTACTGCTAATAATTGCATGCATAACAACCCTAACATTATTGAAATCATATCAAGATTCAAAAACCCTAAGGAATAATTTGCAACAAAACCCAATGTACAACAAACCAAGCTGGCAGTACAACTTGTAATTGCATACACATAACACAACCCTAACATTGAAGAATTAGAGTTCCAACAACTGAAAACACAATCAAGATTCAAAACCCCTGATTCAGAATTCATGTAGACATCAACAATTTATATAAATTATTCTGATAATTGAATCCATACTACTGAAAACACATCATGATTCAAAATCATGTGAACACCAAGCAATTAAACTCAATAATCAAGAGAAATTCGGGTTTCAAAAAGTACAAATGGAACAATTGTACGACTAATGCATGTCGAAGAAATAAAATTCGAGTCAAATCCCAGATCATGAAACCTCGAATGCATCAAAATTATCGCTCCGAACGTATTAAACAACAATGAGTACCATACATTTAACTAGCGCATTCCATACAAAACCTTAAACGAACTTACAATCGCTCAACAGAGAATTGAATGAATAAAAACGAAACCCATGACAAAACACAAAACCCAGATCGGGAATCTTCAAATCCATCGAAACCAACGTCGATAAAAATAGGAAACCATCAAAAATGGAATCATCCAAAACAGTAACTGGTTAATTAAGTTGAACTTACTGTAAGGAGCGAGAGAAGACCGAGTGAATTCTACAGAAAAATGGGCAGGTAGGTCACATCAGAAAGTGAATCCGATATGGAAATAGAGATACATACATAGAAGGATTATAGATACAGAATTGTGAACAGTGTGCTTTGTCGTGATCCCAGAAGACAGCAAGGATAAAGGACGACGAAATAAGCAATCTCCACGAGATTCATGTGTGTGTAGAGTGGGGTTTTGAGTGTGTGTGAATGACGTGTGGGAGTGAAATTATAGTGGCTGGAAGAAAGCATCGGCGTCCGTGAAAGAGAAGAAGACGCCAACAACAAAAATGGCGATTCAGAGTCTGTTTGTTTGCAGAGAATTTGTCATGAAATACACGTGTTGATGTGTCATCAACTTTACCCCAAAGAGAAGTTGGAAGATCAAATTACAATACTAGTCCTTCAACTATACACCATATGCTTGTTTTGCTTATTAACTTATTTTTTTATAACTTTAGTCCAAAATTGATTATTTTGTCTCGCTTTAAGTTATAAAGTTAACAGTGTTAGTTAATATCAGTCGAATGATCTTATGTGATCGGTTTGAATAGGATATAGTTACCGATGAATTTAGTGAGTTCTTTATCAGGGCGCTCTTATAATCGGTCGTAACACAAAACCGCTTTAATTAATGTATAATCGGGACTTTAACTTAAGCTTTGATCTCGAGATTCGACCCGTAACGACCGTCTCTAATTCTCGAGGAAAAATTGAAATGACATTAGCATCCAAACATAAATCATATTTACTGTCACGTCACCAAATAATTGACGTGACAGTAGAAATATTTTTGTAATCCGTTTGATTTACGACAGTGGTTATTTGTAATCCATTAGATTTATCAGACCCATAATTTCGTAATTGGATTTGTACTACATCAGTGTTTTATTCCACTTGTCATTTAAACTACCTCAGCGATTCATTATATTTTACTATTGTAGACGGTCTTAATGGGCGTTTGGTTAGGTATAAGTGGTAATTAATAATAATAAAAAACCTTGTTTGGTTTTATTTATACTATATTATAAAGCATTTGACAAAAACTCTTAAAAATAAATTTTTATGCAAAAAATACTGTTTATTGATGCATATTACTTAGAATTCAAGATTACAAATAAATTGTGCATAAGTACAACTTATTAAACCTTCATTTATGAATTTGTGTAATTAACTTGCAGATAAACATAGTCAAATACAAGATAAACATAGTCAAATACAAGATAAACATTTCATTTTAAATATAAAAAATCTAAAATATAATTAAGATAAATATCGAGTTTCAACAGAATGATTACTTATTATCTTTATATATTATTAAATCAAGAATAAATTACTTTATTATTAAATCTAAATTAAATTACAATAAAAATTTTGAATTAAAGAAATTACACAAAAAAACAAAAAAAACTTTTAAATAGTTAATTTGATACTAATATTGATATATTTATTTTTGAAATTTTATGATACCTTTAAATTTATATTTTATTCAAAAATAAAAACATTATTCATTTCTCAAAACCATATAAAAACCATATTATAAAATCTGTAGAGACGGAATAAAAACAAAACATTAAAATCGAAATATATATATATCACTACGTTACACGAGTATCCTTCTAATATAATATAAATATTATTTTTATTTTTATTTTCATTTTCATTTTTATTTTTTAAGATTTATATTAAATTCTGGACACGAACCCAGACTTTGGGATCATGCTTTGGACATTTATGCCTTCATCTTATTTATGTGTTCTTTTTTGAAAATAAGCTACTCAATCATGCAATTAGGCCCATTTAGGTCAAATTTGACTAATATAATATCATAATAATAAAATAATGAAAATATTTTAAAAAAATCTGATAAATTATTCCATTTTGAATGATTAAGTCTCTTAACTATTTTTTGAATAAAAAAACTGTTAAACTTTCTCATTTTGAATGATTAAATTTGTGAAGTGTTTTTTTGAATGAAAAAACCTTTAAACTTTTTCATTTTAAATGAAAAACCATTAAATTTTCTCATTTTGGATGATTAAGTTTCTGAACACGTTTTTCAATTAATTAAACCATCGAACTCTTAGAAATTGGTTACATACATATTTTAACAAAAAAACAACAAAAACCTATTAGGTGATACGAAGAATGAACAATGTTGGGGCAACGAGGAGTGGCAAAGGGGAGCAATACCGTTGTTTTCAAGGGGTTTTAATGACGTAGGGTTTGGCCAAGGTAAAACTGATTTAGGTTTGTTTTTACTTTAAAACATTCATAGTCAGTTACAAGCGGGGGTTTTTTAATTAAGAGATGTAAGCAGCCAATTTTTAGAAATTCGATGATTTTTTTACTTATTCAGAAAAATGTTTAAGGACTTAATCATTCAAAATGATAAAGTTTATTGGTTTTTCATTCAAAAAATAATCCAACCACTTAACCATTTTAAATTAGATAGTTTGTTGGATTCTAACTTTTTCATAAAATACCCTTTATATTATTCAATTATATTTTAAACCTAAAGTTGATAAAGAAAAACTAACAAAGTCAAGAATTAGTTAGTTTGTTACCTACTTATCATGATATTTTAGTGGGTTTGGTATGAGTAAACGGTTTTTTATTATCTATTACTCAGTTGTCGGTTACCAGTTACCAGTTACCTGTTAATATATATATATATATATATATATATATATATATATATGGCCTAATCAAATGATAACTAACTAGTTTGTGGTAACCGTGAGTTCTAATATAAGTCAATCATTTTATATGTGATTATCTGATTTAAATGATTACGTGATAGCATGATAAATTGTTACATTTGATCATGCTGGAATGTGAAAATGTG